TGGGACAAGGCGGAAGCAGGGCGATGCCGGCGGGGGGCGGGCGCTGGTGGAGCTTCTGGGAGCAGCGGGCCAGGCAGCTGCAGTGCCAGGTTCGGGTGAGTCGCGTCTCCCTCCCAGCTCAGAGTTGAGGGGCAGAGTTGAGGGGCAGAGGAGAATGTGGGTGGGTGCCGGGGCTTCACTGAAGAGTAAAGAGCCCTGGGACGGAGGACGTTATCTGCCTCCTCTACCCTTCTAGGCTCACAGACCAGTGGTTGGGCCCATCTTCCTCCACCTAACTCCACCCCAGGCTCTCACCTCCAGCTCCACCAGAGCCGCCTCTGTCCTCCTTCCTGGGGCCTCCTCTGTCTTTCCACCTGGGTCTTCTTTTGTCCTCCCACCCTGAGCCTCTCTCCTCCTACCTGGAGCCTCCTCTCTCCTCTCATCTGGGGCCTCTCTCCTCCCGACTGTGTCTTTTTCTGTCCTCCCATCTGGGGTCTCTCCCACAACTTTTTAAAATGCCTACTGTGCTGTGCAAGTGCTGGGAATACAAGAGTTAAGCAACAACAAATATAATTCCCCTAGTCACTGCTCAGATGCAGGAAGTGGATCAGTAAAATAACCACAAAATAGCAAACTTGGGACAGTGTGACTATGATCTGTGCTGCTGAGTGGAGGTGCATGGTCCTACGAGTGTTTGTAACTCAGTGTCTGGCCTCATCTGAAGAATCAGGGATGTCCCCACGTCATGAGGGTTGAGCTGAGCTCTGAAGAGATGAGAAGGTGTGACAATGAGGTTGAGTGTGAAGGAAAAGAGTTCCCCATGGAGGACAGCGGCCTGGTGGCACCACGTGGTGGGCAGGGGTTTCGGGCAGAGGAACCAGGGAGCACAGGAAGCAATTGCGAGCCGAGGCTGGGAACATGGCAAGGGGTCGGGCCATGCAGGGTAGGCTGGACTGTTAAGAGTGTTTTCTCTATTTTGAGGGCAAGGAGATGGAGAGCTTTTAAGAAAGGAGGGGACCCACAATTGGATCCACATTTTGAAAATGCCACCTGTAGAGTGCAGTGGTCCAAGAGCAGGAGTGAACATGGAGGCTGATGGGAAGGGTGCTGTCTGGAAGAACACCAGGGTGGCAGTGGAAGACCTTGGGGACCTGCTCCAAGCAAAATGTGAAAACCATACAAACAGCCATTTACAGCCTCTGGGAGTTGCCTAAGAGTGTTCATCAAGTGAAGACACACTTATCCAAGGAAATACACTAAAACTCCATAAGAACAGCGGTCATCTGTGGCTCCTACCCTGGTCCTAGCTCAGTTAGACGGAAGCCCCACTCTGGGTGGGTATAGCCAAGGAGACGGGACTCCCTCTCCCCTTAGCTCCCAACTGCAGGGCCCTTCATCTCACCAGGAGAGACAAACCACCAGTGTTTCTCACTAAATAAAAGAGGCTAGATTCCTGGTGAGTCCAGTGGAGGCTCCCTTCCTCCACTCAGCCTCCACTCGTAGGATGGAGGTTCTAGCCCAAGAACAGCAGACCAGGAATACCCAGTTTCAATTGCTGTATCCCACCTTAATTGTAGGACATGGGCTTCCTCATAAGAGAGACAAGCTGAAGAGACCAGAGGCAGCTCTTCTGACCAGAACAGTGACTTAGAGATTTTTCCAAGACACAATCCATAACAAAAGACAGTTCTGAAACTCTGAAGCTCTTCCTGGAGGAACTGACTTTGTTTGAAACACAGTGTGAGGAAGTTCGGGCCTAAGGACATGCTCAGAAACAATTGCTCCTCTAAATTAAGAACAGCAAATTCATCTGCAAGGGCTGCATAACCAAATACCACAGACTGGTGGCTTAAACAACAGGAACTTATCTCTCACAGTCCTGGAAGCTGGAAGCCCAAAACCAAGGGTTTGGCAGGTTTGGTTTCTTCTGAGGCCTCTCTCCTTGACTTGTAGATCATTATCTTCTCATCGTGTCCTCCCATGGTCTTTCCTCACCCCTAGCACCTCTCTGTGTGTCCAAATTTCCTCTTCTTATAAGGATACTAGTCAGATCAGAGTAAAACCCTCCTGCCTGGCCTCGTTTTAACTTAATTATCTCTTTAAAGGCCCTATCTTCAAATATAGTCACATTATAATGTATTGGGAGTTAGAGCTTCAACATGTAGATTTGGATGGAGGACAAAGCCCAGCCCTTAACAAGCAATGAAAACCCAGTCCAGAACAAGCAACAAGCTAATCCATAGGCTATTTAGGTAACTAGAGAGAATAGACAGCCAGAGAGACAGCTAGAAAGGCCCTCCTGGGATTAGAACAAACCTTAAAGTTAAAAACTATTCCTGCCCCAGTTTAATTGGACCAGATATTGAAGAAATGTTTGCCCCAGGTCATTGTTGAAGACAATAGAGCAATCAGTTGGTAGTTAATGGAGCTTAACAGATGGATGTGATACTACATAAGGTAACAAGGGATCAGGGAAAGAGATCTTGCAAAACCCAACACAACCCAGAGTAGCTGTGTGCATGCCTGTGTGTAAGGGTGGGTCATGCTATCCCAAGCTATCCCAAATACTTGACACAGCAGAGGAAATAGGCTTCACTGAAATAGTCTATTCAAAAGTAAACAAATGAGCAAGCAAAGAACAACAGAACTAGCTGCAGAAGGGGAGCCAGCAGCATCAGTATCCAGGGTTTTCACAATATATTACTGATAGCATCCAATTTTCAATAAAATTTACAAGACATGCAAAGAAACAGCAAAATGAGGTGTGGGGACAAAACAGAAAACAAAACTGCCTGTGTGAGGGCCTCAATGTTGGATTTAATAGACAAAGACTTCAAAACAACCTATAAAGATGTCCAAAGAACTAAAACAAAAACAAAAACAAAAACTGTGCCATTAGAAGCACAGGAAACTGTGACAATGTCTTACCAAATAGATAATATTAGTAAAAAGGTAGACACTATTTTTTGAATGATAATCCTGGAGTTGAAAATGCCCAAAATGAAAACACTGTCTTGCAGGGCTCAAGGGTAGATCTGAATTGATAGAAGAAAGAATCACCAAACTCTCTGAAATTAATAGAACAGACCTCAGATAAAGATGCAGGACATTTAAGCACACCAACATATGCATAATGGAAATAAAAGGAGAAAAGAGAGAGACAGGAGCAGAAGACTATTCAAAGAAATAATTTCCAAAAATTGCTGAAAAATATGAATGTACAAATCAAAAAAGCTCAATGAATCCCCAAAGTAGTATAAATACAAAGAGTTCAAACTCACACACATTATAATAAAAATGTTTGAAGCCAAGACAAAGTGAAATCTTGAAAAGAGAGAAAAATGTATTGTCAGGTACAAGAGAGCCCCAAAAGGATTGACAGCTGACATCTCATCGGAAACTATGAAGGCCACAGGGCAGTGGAATGATATATTTAAATTTAAAGTACTGGAGAAAAAACAAAAACTTGTCAACTAACCCAGAATAATTTCCAGCAAAACTGTCTTTCAAAAATGAAGGCAAAATAAACATGTTCTTAGATAAAATTGGAGAGAATTTGTTGTCAGCAGGTGCACCATACAAGAAGTAGTAAAGGAAATTCCTCAGGCTGGAAGAAAGTGGAACTCCATGGAATCCCTAGTCCACAAAGGGCATCAGTGAAGGTAATTATGTAATTGTAAAAGACAGTACCTTTGTATATTTCTTCACTTTCCTTCTCCCAGCTGATTTAAACATCAATTGCATAAAACAAAATGTGTGTAGTTGGGTTGTTGGCCTGTAACATATCAAAATATATTTCACAGAAACAGCCTAAAGGATGTGATGAGAGCAAAGTTTATTAGAGAGGGAAATGGCACCAGATAGTCTTGAATTCACAGGACCAGTGAAGAGAAACAAAAATGGGAAAGAAGAAGAGAAATAAGCCTTATGTATGAATATGTACTTGCTCTCCTTTCTCTTCTCACCTTCTTTAATTAGTGTGAAATTATGTAAAGTAATAATTATAGCAATGTGTTGTTATAGATTTGAAACATGTATTGATGTATTATGTATAAGAATAATATATAAAAGAGGAAGGAAGATTACAGCTATCTAGGAATAATGTTTCTCTGCCTCAGTGGAATTGTTACTGTGAATAGGCAGGAGTTTTTGCCAGGCTCAGATGCATATGGCAGGCCCCCTAAATGAGCAGCCACTAAGGAAATAACTCAAAAAAGATAGTCAAAATAATTAAGGTGCTACACTGGGGAATATCCATTCAATGCAAAATAAAGTAATAAAAGAGGAACAAAGGAACAAAAAGACACAAGCTATACTGAAAACAAAAAGTAAAGTGGCAGGCATAAATCCAACTAAAATAGTAATATTAAATGTGAATGGATTAAACAATCAAAAGGCAGAGATTTTCAGACTGGAGAAAAAGCAAGATCCAACTACATGCTATCTATAAGAGATACACTTTAGATTCAAAGGTACAAATAGGTTGAAAGTAAAAAGATGACAAAGATACGTCATTTCACCATCAACCATGAGAAAGCTTGATGGCTATACTAATAGTAGACACAAGAGACTTTAAGACAAAAAAATTACCAGCGATAGAATAACATTCTGCAATGATAAAAATGTAATTTATCAGGAAGATATAAAAATCATCAATATGTATAGATATAACAACGGGGCTCTGAAATTAGCAAAACAATAAATGACCAAATTGAAGGCCAAAATAGGCAACTCAAAAATAATAACTGGAGACTTCAGTAGTCCACTTTTAATGGTGGATAGACCAACCAGCTGGATCAACAAGCAAAGAGAACAACAACTGAAAATGAAATTAAGGATTCCATTTAACAATTAAAATAGCATCACAATAGCATCATCCCATTTAAAATAGCATCAAAAATACTTTGAAATGCATTTAACCAAAGAGGTATAAGACCTAGACAATAAAGATGGTACTCGTCATTATTATTCACAGGAGAAGGCACAGAAACACTCATGAGACACCACTGCATACCCACGAAGAGGACTATGATAAAAAAGACAGGTGATAACAAGTGCTGGTAAGGATGTGGAGAAACTGGAATCCTCAAATTTTGCTGGTGGGAATATAAAATAATGCAGCTGCTTAAACCTTGAACAATTATAATGCTATAAGGAAGCAATTGGCAGTAGTGGGAAACTGTCAGGGGAGGGCAGGTGGGATTGACAGTTAAGGGAAACTGGTAGGAGAGGGAGGGGCATACCTCATCAACAAGGGTACCTGCATGATCAATGTTTATATACCTAACCCTGAAAGGTACCCCACATCTTTATAATAAAAATTTGAAAAAAGAAAGAAAGAAAAAAGTCTGCGGCTCCTCAAAATGCTAGGTATATACCCAAGAGAAATGAAAATATTTTCCCACCTTTACAAGAATGTCATAGTGGCACTATTGATAATAGTCAAAAAGGAGTCATCTAAATATCCATCACTGCTGAATGATGTGGTATACCTATATGATGGACTATTATCTGACAATGAAAAGGAATGAAATTCTGATACTGCTGTATGCGAGTGAGCCCTGAAAACATGATGCTGAGTGAAAGAGGCCAGAACAAAGACCATATATTGTATGTTTCCATTTATATGAAATGTTCAGAAGTGTCAAATACACAGGGACAGAAAACAGATTAGTGGTTTTCTAGGGCTGGGGGTGGAACATGGTTAGAAGTGATGTCTGAGGGTTTCTTTTGGGAGAGATGACAGTAAAATTTTAGTGGTGATTATAGAACTCTGAATATACTAAAAGTCACTGAATTGTACACTTCAAATGCATAAATTATCTGGCATGTGAATTGTACCTTGGTGCACATACGGAAAGAATGTCACAATTCAGGAAAGAAGAAGAGTGGGCAGAGGGAGGTGGGTATCAGCTGTAGTGGCTATCCAGATGAAAGAAAGTGATATCTTGGACTTAGGTGGACTAGAGTAAATTATTCCAGGGGTGTTTTTTTAAAGAGGTAAAGTTGACTGCACATACCAGTGGGTAGTGTGGAAGACTCCCAGCTTCAGGCTTCTGTAACCAACCACAAAGAGTGTGGAATCACAAGCAAGGTTGTCCTAAAAAGATCACAGGTTGATTGTGGGTGACCTATCAGCAGGCTTGGGGGAGGAGGAATCCCCAGCAGGAGGGACTGAATCCCTGGGAAGAAGGGGCTGAATCCCCAACAAGTGGGCCTGAATCATAGTAGGAGGGACTGAATCCCCCACAGCAGGGAGTGAATTCCCAGCAGAAAAGACTGAATTCCCAACAGGAGGGACTGATCCTCAGCAGCAGAGACTGAATCTCCAGCAGCAAGGCTGAATCCCCAGCAGGAAAAACTGTTTCCTTGGCAGGAGAGACTGAATCCCCGGCAAGAAGAGCTGCCTGTGACCCCACCTTTCTAGGAAACTGGTGGTTCCTTTCCACTAAGTTCTCCAGTTTCTGGCCACCTGAGTGTTTACTATAACTAGTTAATGTTTAACTCCTCTGCTTCCTGCTCTCCAATGCCCTCCTGTCTATGTGGGATCAAGCCCATCCTTCTCCCTGGCTGACAAACACCAAGCAACGCTCTGGCCTCTGCCTGGACCTCAGCCTCCCTCGTCCACTCACCCTGTCCTGAACATGCCAAGCTCATTCATACCCCAGGCCTTTGCTTGACTTTTTGTTGGCCTCATTTTCCCTTGGCTGCTCTGACAGCTTTCATCTGTCCCAGTAGGCCTCTCTAAGGGAGGTTGGCCCAAGGCTCTGCATTCCTAACAAGCCCCCAGGTGCTTCTGTTGCTGGTCAGGGGGCACACTTGGAGGAAGTAGGGCCATAAACTAAGTGTGGATGGAGGGAGGGGAGCCAGGCCTGTGGGGTTCAGAGCTGGCTTCATCTTCTGTCCTGTGGTGTACTATGGTCACCCACACTTCACAGCTGATGTTTCCTGTACAGTCATGCATTGCTAGATGACAGGGATGCATTCTGAGAAAATATGTCATTAGGCCATTTCCCCTCTGGGTGAACATCATAGAGTGTGCTTATACAACCCTGACGTCTAGCCCACCACAGGCCCAGGCTGCGTGGTGTGGTCTCCTAGGCTGCAAAACTTTGGAGTGCACTGTACTGAATACTGGAGGCAATTGTAACACAATGGTGAGTACTTGTGCATCTAAATATATCTAAACATAGAAAGGTGCAGTAACAATGCAGTGTTGTCATCTTTTGGGTCCACTATTGACCAGAACATCATTACATGGCATACGACTATGGCACTCAGAGCCTGTGTTTTATTCTTTGTGTGGTGTTTGTTCTGAGGATGGACATGATAACTGATTAACAGAATTCCCACAGTTCCATTCAACCAAGTAAGCGCTGTGCTGATAATTTCCCTTTGTGGCTCCTTGGTTATAGGTCAAAGAAGAAAGGATAGCTGAACTCGAAACAGAAAATGCTGTTCTTCATCTGAAATTGGCGGAGGTGATGTTTTTAAGTGTCTTGCAGATGTTGAATTCTATCCAGTGTGTAGTGACTCCATGTTGAAGTCAGCTTTTAGCCCTTGTAGAAGAAATAAGTTGAGGGTGACCCTTCCTTTGACCTCCACATCAGCAAAACGTTTCCCTTTGAGGATTTTTTCATTTGGGGAGACAAAAGTTGCTCAGGGTAAGATCAGGTGAATAGGTGGGGCACAAAGGCCATTCTGTTTTTGGTCAAAAACTGCTGAACACTTAGCATGGTGTGAGCAGGTGCACTCATAAATCACCCATCATGAAATGGGCAAACATATTGAAAGAATCTCCCAAAAAATTTCACTGAAGCCAAAAGCAGCCTCTCACGACAATGCTAGCAGGTACACTGATGCCGATAGTTTCCTAGAACACTTACCGAGTGGGGGAAACTGTACCACAAGAGATCCAAAAAATAATTCTGTTTTCTTTTGCATCTCCCTCATGTATGTTTAAGAATCCTGCTGCTAAAAGTCTCTCAGTGTCGTAGCTTTATCCTTAAGAAAACCTCTTTTCAGTCACCATCACAACAGACTGTGAAAACCTCTGCCCCTTCCCCTAGTACACTGTTCCTCTGCTCTTTCCATTTTGGGATCTGCCACTCTCAGCCTTGGCCTTGGCATTATACATAAACAGCTCCCCAAACAGCCCCTCAGACAGGCCTCTTCAGAAACCCCCAAGACAGGCCCCAGATGCCCCAAGACAAGTCCCAGATGCCCCCAGATTGGTCCCAGATGCCCCCAGATTGGTCCCAGATGCCCCCAGACAGCTCTCTAGACAGGCCTCCAGATAGGCCGCAGATACCTCTAGACAGGTCTCAGACACCCCCAGACAGGTCCCAGACACCCTCCAGAAGCTCCCATTCAGCCCCCTAGATAGGACTCCAGACAGGTCCCAGATACCCCCAGACAGGTCCCAGACAGCCCCCTAGACAGACCTCCAGACAGGTCCCAGACACACCTAGACAGGTCCCAGACACCCCCAGACAGGTCCCAGATACCCCCAGACAGGTCCAAGATACCTCCAGACAAATCCCAGACACCCCCAGACAGCCCCCTAGACAGGCCTCCAGACAGGTTCCAGACACTCCCAGACAGGCCTTAGATACCCCCAGATAGCCCCCTAGACAGACCTCCAGACAGGTCCCAGACACCCCAGACAGGTCCCAGATACCCCAGTCTGGTCCCAGACAGCTCCCTAGACATGCCTCCAGACAGGTCCCAGATACCCCTAGACAGATCCCAGACACCCCTAGACAGGTCTCAGATACCCTCAGTCAGCCCCCTATACAGGACTTCAGAGAGGTCCCAGACACCCCCAAAAGGTCCCAGTTACCCCCAAACAGCCTCCTAGACAGTCCTCCAGTCAGGCCCCAGACACTCCCAAATAGACCCTTAGGACTCCAGACAGCCTCAGACATCCCCAGACAGGTCCCAGATACTCCCAGACTGGTCCCAGACACCCCCAGACAGACCCCTAGATGCCTCCAGACATCCCTCAGACAGGTCCCAGACACCCCTAGACTGGTCTGAGACACCCTCAGACAGGTCCCAGATGCCCCTAGATTGGTCCCAGATGCCCCCAGACAGGACCCAGATGCCCCTAGACTGTTCCCAGACAGCCCCCTGGATACACCTCCAGACAGGCCTCAGACACCCCCTTACACAGCCCCCCAAACAGGTTCTAGACCCCTCCCCCAGACATTCCCCCAGACAGGTCCCAGACAGCCCCCCAGGAAGGCCTCCAGACTGGTAGATTATGGTGGATTATTTTCACCTACTGTCCATGAGGCTGGTTGCATCTTCACGTGGGTGCATCAGTGCATCGTGGACACCCCGTAACTATTCTTTCCCCAGGGAGATGCATCTGCTTCGACTTCAGGGTTTTGAGACTTTAACTTCTCTTTTACTCCCTTCTGCAACAGTACCAGGGGAGGCTGGATGAGAGTCGCAGGGAGGCCGTACAGGTCCGCAGGCTGTGCAACCAACAGCGGTGTCTGCAGAGAAATGCGCATTCCGCCTTCAGCCAGCTGGGTCGTGCTGCTCAGGTGAAAGTGGCTTCACCGACGCCCGTATTTCATCGGTGTAGTGAATGGTTATGTTTAAGAACTGGTAATGATGGTGACTATGCCTATCAAAAGAGATCTGGTCTCATGGAATTAAAAGAAGACAGCATAAAGAAGCCAAGCTCTCCTGGTCAGATGAGTGGCCCTCTTTAAAAGAGCATAACATCACAACTGTTTTCTTTCTTTCTTTCTTTCTTTTTTTTTTTTAGTTGGAATCTCACTCTGTCACCCAGGCTGGAGTGCAGTGGCACTCTCACAGCCATCCCAGCATCGACCTTCTGGGTTCTGGCAATCCTTCCGCCTCAGCCTTCCAAGTAGCCAGAACTACAGGCATGTGCTACATCACTTGGTTAATTAATTTATTTATTTAGTTATTGCAGAGACGAGGTCTTGCCGAGTTGCCTGGGCTGGTCTCAAACCCACGGGCTCAGGCAATCCACTCTCCTCGACCTCCCAAAGTGCTGGGATTACAGGTTGAGCCACCAAGCCCAGTCACGACTGTTTTCTTAGTCAGTGGTAGTGTTCACTTTGGGAGTTCTGCTTTCAAACATTTATTACATTGAAGATTAAACCTCAAAAAAAGCACATATGATTGTCATCTTGAGCAAAAGTTTGGCCGCGAGATGGATTGTCTCAAATAGCTATGGCAATAGTTGATTTTATAAGTCAAAGTTGTTCTTGTTTTAATTTTAATGTTAAATGGCAGAAAACCAGTTTATGCATGTCAGAGTAAATAGATCTGTACAACATGTCATTAAATGTCAACAGCTCCCTTTAAACTGCTAATAGTTTCTGGAATGAAAAGTTAGAAAGATTGTTATTCCATATAGCATACTTGGCAATTCTCCAAGGTGAAATCGTGGTAGGATATTTTTATACCTTTGATTAAGAACATTGTTTTACCTTTTGTTATCAACAATGAGACCAGAGTAAAAAATAGGAAGAAAAAAGCATTATTACAACAATGAAAACAACATCTGTAAACAGGATTAATGTGCTCCCTTTGTTAGTCAAAATTAGAAATTTCCCTCATAAACTGACTTAGTGTATTTAGAATGTGTTTACATAGAATTAGTTTTTATTCTCTTCCAAATGAATAAAATTAATTTATCTTTGAATGAGATATATAACTTTATCTGTATTCCATAGAGGAAAAACACTTTCATTCAATTTAGTGTTGATATGTTATTAAAATGTTTCCCAAGCATATGGATATTATCTGCATTTTATAGAAAAAAGGTTAAAGAAACAAAGAATATCTAAATGCAGTTATGCTTTTATGACTTAAGATATCTGATTTTAAATATTAAATGGCAGGGCCTTAGTTTGTTCCTTTTATGGACCTGTCACATCTTCATCCTAGAAATCCTTGCTGTAACTTTGGGGGAAGTAAGAGAACATCAAGTGCAGGGGACCAGTTGCATTGTTTCTAAAGTTCTCTAGAAGCTTCCACAACTGTTGCTTCTGGACTTTCAGTTTGTATGTTCCTATGGCAGATGGTGTCCGCTGGCATTTTTTTCACCATGTGCTCATGGTGATTAAGCTTTCAGAAGGTGGGTCTAGAGAACAGATTGGAGCACTGCTCCCCATTAACAAGGGGTGATGCGGAGACTGAGTCTGAGCCAACACCACAAGGAAGCAAACAACAGCCGGAAGCGCACCCTGAATCCAGCATCGCCTCCCATGTGTGCAGTGAGTGGTGCTTCCTACGGAAACTGCAGAAATACTTGATTTTCTGTCTCTTGAATACTTTAAAGATATACAATATGTAAAACCACACATGCTGTTTCAAGTACAAATCCAAGATGGGTTGAATCAGAATTTCTGGAAGTGAGCGTGGGCCTGAGCCATGGGACCCTCCCCACCTGGAGCTGACATGTCTGTGAGGAAGAACTTCTGCCTTGAACAGGTTCCATGAATCATGCATGAATGCACAATGGTGCTAATTGTGTGGTTATGTTTTTATTTTATAGAAATTCATAGGATTATTGTATAGTTACACTGTAATCATATAGCTAATTTTATTAATTGTGCATCTTCCTATTTTGTAGAAACTTAAACAAGACATGATGGAGTTCCGCTCTTCCTCTCTGATCCTCTTAAGACGTTACCAGGATCAGCATCAGCACTGTGTTTCTGAAATGGTGACTGCAGTTCGGCATGTACAGCTCAGTGGCGAGGCTCTGCGAGGTAGGAGGTCCTTGACAGCAGTCCACGTCCAAGACAAGAGTCTGCAGACTTAGGCAGATGGCTACCTAGGTTTCAAGTCTTCGTTCTTTTCACTTTTAGCCGACGCCTAAGTCAAGGGTGAGAATAAGCACCATGGGATTTAGTAGCATTTGTTAAGTACCCACTGTTTTCTGCACCTACAACCCCACCGCTAATGGGGGTCACTCAGAGAGCAATGTCTTGACCTTGACAGTCATTGCTGAACTGGGACCAGTGTCCACCTGGGACTTTCTGTGTCAGATTTTCCTGAGGTGTGGGGTGAGGGTTTCTGTCTTACCAGGTCAAGTGTTCCTTAATTTCTAGGCAGTCCATAGCAGGTTGGTTACTCTTGGTCATGGTGGATTAATCATCTTCAACTGCTGTCCTTCTTGAAGCCATGAAAGAACTTTCTTTGGTTCTGCGGTTTTAAGCTCTTCCCCACATAGCACCATGTGTGCACGAATCCCATTTCCATGGCTTCTTCGAGTGCTCAATGTGTCCACGGCACGAAACAAATGCGTTCCAGGCAGGGACGCAGCCCCCAGGTCGTCTCACTGCTGTTCCCAAGTGCATGTCTGAAATGGCCTGGACTTAAGCTGTGGTTCTGCAGTGCTAGCCAGTGTTCCACCCTAAATGCCTGGAGTGGCTGGGGACCTCATGTTGACGTCCTCAGTGTTCTGTTCAGTGACCACCTGGAGGACCTCAGGGGATGTGTGTGCACACGCGTGTGGTCCTGGAAGTCATTGCTCCAGGGGAAGGGATGGCCACATGATTTTGTGAGATCAGATACCTGAGCTTTGAGACAGCTTTGAGTGAGGTTTTGTGGGAAATCCAAGGGGTGCAGGGGGCAGACAGCCATAGTTTTCTTCCTGCAGAAATGCTGACGTGTGATGATTTGGTGGCTTGCTCAGTCCCCGCCCATAGGTGTTGATCCCATGCACACCCTAGGGAGGCCAGCAGGGAGGGAGGGGCCCTCAGCCTGTGCATTCGGACCTGGAGGTCGAGCTCGGGGTCTCAGTGGTCCTGGTCATGGCTTCCCGGGCACCTTCTTCCTGGATGCCTTCTCCCCTTGTGTTCGAGCTCTCAGGGCTCAGTCCCTGGTGCCATCAGTGGGCCAGGTGACTCCTTCCAGCCTTCCTCCGACAAGAAGGATGTTGGAGCAGTGGAGACTGGGCCAATACAGTTGAGCCAGGTGACCGACCACCTGCTTGGAGGGTCAGAGCACAGGGTCCTTCCTGCTCTCTCTTTTCTGCGTTCAGCCTGGGTCAGTGACCAGCTGTTTCCTGGAAGAAGCCTGAATGTCCCTGTGAGGGCAGGCCGTCTGGGAACCCTTGGGCCAGGGAAGACATCCCTGGACCAGGGAAGACGTCCCTGGGCCAGGATATCTCCTGGGGACCCTGAGGCTCAGGGCAGATGTTCCTGGTCCAGGCTGTCTCCTGGGGACCCTAGGGCAGGAGCAGACATCCCTGGGCCAGGTGGATGTCCCTGGACCAGGCTGTCTCCTGGGGACTCTTGGGCCTAGGGCAGACATCCCTGGGCCAGGCCATCTCCTAGGACCCTGGTCCTGGGGCAGATGTTTCTGGACCAGGCTGTCTCTGAGGACCCTTGAGTCAAGACAGACATCCCAGGGCCAGTCCATCTCCTGGGGACCCTTGGACCAGGGCAGACATCCCTGAGCTGGGTTGCCCCATTCTGCCAAGTAACACATGAGATGCTGGGGCCATGGGTGTCACTGATCTCACAGCTGCAGCCATCTCCCACAGCATGGTGCTGACCCCCACTTCTAGATACTCTGTGACACAGCGGTGGTGGATCTGGGTGTCCAAGCATGGCCAGGACCTGCATGTAGCCTCCAGTCACCCTCACATTGTGACACAATCCTGTCATTGCTTGGACAGGTTTCTGAATTGCCACTCCTGAGTGACAAAACTGAAAGTCAGAGCCAGGTATCTCCCCTTCTCCCATGCCAAGGTCTCTGTGAAACCCCCAGGTGCCTTGAGGAACAGACTTCCTTGGTTGTGGCAGGTAGAGTGACAGCATCCACCAACTGCTCCATCCCAGGCCACAGGGTGTGTGGTGCCAGGACACCGTGTGAGCTCTGTGTGTCCTCAGTCTCCTGAGGATGGTGCATCCAGCACCTCAAGAATCAAGTACACTCAACCACACCCTGCAGCCAGTCTCTGCTAACTCCACTGGGTTTTTAAAAATACCTCCTGTACTTAGGACAGTGACTTGACCTGCAGGGCCATGTGGCCTCCTCTCCCGTGAGATGCCATTGTAACGTGGGTGAAATTGTCCTTCCAGCATGTCAGTCAGAGGCAGCCTGCCTCCAGCGGTCCCTCCAGGAGGTCAGCACCCGTTACCAGCTGGAAAAGCAGAGGAGACGATCCCTTCACAACAGCCTGGTGGTAAGCTTGCTGGGTCAACTTGTCAGCATCACCATTTGACATTCAGAGAAAAGTGGTCAGGAAAGACCAAGGTGGTGACGCTGAGGAAAGACCTAAGTGCTAAGTGGAACAGCAGCAGGTGCAGAAATCCCCAGTAGGACCATCCAGGGCAGGCTGGATGGCCGGGGTGGCCTGACTGGGGCTCAGGGGAGCAGAAGGGGACAGCGGGGATTGCATATCCCCTTCCCCAGAGGGTGATGGTGGCTGGGGAAGTGGGTGGGGAAGTGACACATCTGAGTTATGCCTTCAGAGGTCACTCTGGCTGCTCCAACAGGAGTGGTGATGAGGGGGTAGGATAGGTTGCCGCAGAGTCAGAGTGCTGGTGGCCTAGGCCATGCTGGTGGACATGTGGGTACAGCGAGATGGCTTGCTCAGACCAGGGCCTCTGAGACCAGCTGATATGATGTGAGGCCAGAGCAGGAGCAGAGGGTAACCTACAGAGACACAAAGCCAAGTGCAGGAAACTGGGAGCTTTGCCCTAAGCGGCGATGCCACTAGACTCAGGGGCGTGGAGTCGTGGTGTGTCCTGCCTCGCCACACACTTCTAGCCTCCCCTCTTCAGGCCTGCTGACAAGATCCCAGGGACCTCTCTCAAGGGTATGAAATCTGAAGTCCACAATGTTTCCAGTGAAGACTCAGGGCTCTATTGACCTCCATAAAGGTGATTTACTCAGAGAACTTGTCTTCCGTGGGACTTGGCTTCCATGAGATGTGGCTTCCGTGGGACGTGGTTTCCATGGGACATGGCTTCTGTGGGACTTAGCTTCTGTGGCTGCACTTTGGCCAGGCTCTGCAGGTTCCGTCACCCGTACCAGAAAACTTTTCTCCTGAGAAGAGTCTCCCTTGGCTGAGCTGCATCTAGTTGTTAGACATAGCTAAGAATAGTTCTGATTTTAAGCACCTCTACTTAGGTGGTTCAGTGCTCTAAACACTGACACAAGAGGGCATTTATTGAGTGCTTACTTTTTAAAGCACTTTGGTGCATTTTCTTATTTAATCTTCACAATAGCACTACCTCCCTGGATTGCTATAATGCAAAAGGAGACATCAGTAAAGTGCTTGGGACTTCAGAAAGTTCTCAGTCTGCTGTAGTTTTCCTCAGCAGGTATCTGAAAAGGGCAAAATGAGCCTTCCTAAGATAGACACAGGGCTCACGTGGACTAGTTGGTTGTGGAAGAGTCTATGTGTGCTAGGTGAAGTCTGGGTCTCCCTGTTCAGCAGACAGGTCTTTGTCCACCCCTGGGAATGTGTTGATAGGATGACTGGTGTCAGCTCCCATGGAACCACAGAGATCAGGAGACCTGGCTGTAACTCACTTGGTATAAGCCACTTACTGGTTTTCAAAAAAATGGCAGTTGCTATGTGGCACAGCAAGCTGGATAAACTTGCTGTGAACATAAGACAGCATTTTAGATGGGAGGATCAGGTTTCTGAGCACCTACAAGGAGAAAGTATCACTTCCTGGAAGCCTGCGGGAGCTTATAAGAATAAAAATATGGTAAGTCCCCTACATACGAACCTTCAAGTTATGAATTTCTTCCACGTCAGCAAAACATTTCCCTTTCAGGATTTTTTCATGTGGAAACAAAAAAGCTGTTGCTTGGGGCAAGATCAGGTGACTAGGGAGGGTGGGGCATGGGGGTTACGCTGTTCTTGGTCAAAAACTGCTGAACACCTGGTATGGGCAGGTGTTGCTTATAAATCACCCATCGTGAAATGGGCAAAAATGCTGAAAGAATCTCCCCCCAAAATTCACTGAAGCCAGATACAGCCTCTCACAACAACACTAGCTGGTACACAGATGCCGATGAGTTCCTAGAACACGTACCTAGCAGGGGAAGCCTGTACTGCAAGGGACCTGCTCTCCAGAAGATGATTTCATTTTGGGGGGGTCCCTCCTCATATGCTGACATTTCTCATGCTTTCCCACATGAGTTTCCATAGTCTGAGGGGCTGGGAGGAACCCCTGGCTCCCTTAGTGCTGGTCCAGAACTTCTTGGGGACCAGACACCTGGTTACTGACAACATATGACTTTCATTGCTTTTCCTGAGGGAGTAAGTCATTAGTGTCGGTACCACCTAGTAAGTGGATGACTTGCTGGGCATCACCCACATCCGGGCATCGGGATTGGAGAAGCAGCGAGTGTCTGTCCTCTGCCTGTCACCACACTAGAGATGTGCTTCTCCTTCTAGACATGGCATCCAGTGGATGACACTGACCAGGAGGCCCGCCAGGCACACTGGGGGCTGGAGCGGGGGGGAATCTCAGGATGTCCCAGCCGAGTCTGAGTTTCTGACAAGTGTCGTGTGGAAGAGAACAGACTCCAATACGTTCCCGGAGTTATAAAATGACCAGTGACTAACAGATGTCAGCACAGGAGCAGGAAGGACTTTCTAGTATTGAGCCAATGCTCACCCACCAGGCAGTAATCCCTCAGTGCTAAGGTGTCTGAGCACCGTCTGGCAGAAATCCAGCCAGCGGGTACATGACTCCACACACTCGTAGTATTACATAAATGTTGGGTTCATTAGCTCTTCTTTCCCTGCCCAGGAAGGGTGTGGGTTTATCATTATACAGTGTTCGATGGTACATTGTGCAGGGAAATCTGTCGAATAACAGATAACAAGCCCAAGCACCGAATTGCCAAAATTCTTCCCAAAATGCCTAAAAGATTTAGCCCAGGATGCCATTAAAAGGTGTTTCTTTTGGTACTTATTACCAAGTGATAACCATTTACCAAGTGAGCAAATTTGTGAAGTATGAACCAAGAAAAAAGCTGGGTGTGGTGGTGCATGCCTGTAATACCAGCATTTTGTGAGGAAGAGGTGGGAGGATCGCTTGAGCTCAGAAGGTTGAAGATGCGGGGAGCTGTGACCACTCCACTGCACTCCAGCCTGGGTAACAGAGTTGGCCCCTGACGCAAATAAAAAAAAAAAGAAGAAGAAAAGGAGCCGGGCTCAGTGGCTCAGCCTGTAATCCCTTGCTTGGGGAGGCTGAGGTGAGTGGATTGCCTGAGCCCGCAGGTTCGAGATCCGCCTGGGCAACTTGGCGAGACCTCATCTCTACAATAAATAAAAAATTAGCTGGTTGTGGTAGCGCACGTCTGTAGTTCCAGCTACTTGGAAGGCTGAGGCAGAAGGATCGCCTGAGCCCAGCAGGTCGAGGCTGTGGTGGCCGGGAGCGGCCACTGCACTCCAGTCTGGGCGACAGAGTGAGACTCCAACTCAAAAAAAAAAAAAGAAAAGAAAAGGAAAACCTACAATAACACTGACTGCTCACAGCTCTGTAGGGCTTTTCAAAGTCGAAATTTCATGTTGTGGCTCTAACGGCTACGTCATGGGTTCACACTCTCTGAGGGAATGGCTCGACTGCTAAGCACTGTTCCAGTGTGGACGCTTAAAACCTCTTTGTTGTAGGAGCTGAAAGGGAACCTCAGAGTTCACTGCCGGATTCGCCCTTTGCTGCCTTTTGATGATGAATTTGATGGCACAGTTTTGCAGAACAGGTGACACGTCTCTGCTGTGTGTGTGTGTGTGTATGTGTGTGTGTGTGTGTGTGTGTGTTGAATTGGAGCCTCACCTTGTCATCCAGGCTGTAGTGCCGTGACATGCTCACAGGCACCACAGCCTCTACCTGCTGTGCTCAGGCAATCCTTCCACCTCAGCCTCCCAAGTAGCTGGAACCACAGGTGGGTGCCTGTGTGTGTGTATTTTAAGGAAAAAGACATAGAAACACCACAATGTCCAAGCCTCCCATGCTCCTACCCCTGGTTCCAAAGCAGGAGATTCTCTTGTCCTGGGTTTTGCTGATAACGGGCAGTCAACAGACCCTCAGGAAATGGCTCAAAACTGGAGAAGCGCATGCAGCCCTCCTGCCCAAAGGGTCTGGCCTTCTCCAGGGCTGCCTCTGCTGTCCTCTGGGCAAGGCCAAGGCTGGTTGGCTCTTTCCTTCCATCATGTCACATCAACAAGGGAGCACCCTTCTTTGTTTCCCCAAGAACCTCCAGCAGAGTAGGTGGTGACTCCTGTGGATTCATGGACACTTCTGACTCAGAGAGGGCTTGGACGGTACTGCTGAATAATATAAAACCACTTGAAACCCTCCCTCTTCAACGTGCACTTGAAAACCACCCTTGTATGACTTTCATTTCTTCCCCCGACAGTCCCACATCCCCCACCCGCCTGCCCATCAGTTCCACATCTGGCTCTCTTGCCTCCTCAGGTGCCACGCCCACAGTTTCCTCAGTGGTGCCCACAGGCCTGTGGTGGCCCTGCGCACTGGTTCCTACCTCTGGCTTGGTCAGGTGGTTTGTCTTGTCCCAGGTCCTCCCCCATCCTGTCCAAACTCCACCCTCCACTAAGGCCCACCTCAAGTCCTGCATGGATTTGTGTCATGCACAGAAGCCTCTGATTTGAGAAGTCTCTAGAAAGCCCGTGCTCAGTCCTAGTTAGGTGGTATCTCAGTGTGGTTTTGATTTGCATTTCTTTAATGATAGTGAGGCTGAGCATTTTATATATATATATATATATATATATATATATATATATATATTTGTTGGCTGCTCATATATTTTCTTTTGAGAAATTTCTATTCATGTCTTAGGGATTACTTGGGGTAAAACACACAGTATGTAGATGGTGAAAAATAAAGGACACTTTCTCTTCTCAAAGGCTTAAGACTTTGACCTTGCTGACGATGGCACCTGATGTACTTTCTCGACTCATGGCCTTTTGTCATTGGTAAAGGACAGAAATGTCAAGTCCAGCGGTGTGACACTGGACAGGTTGAGGATCCCTTATTTGAAACACTTGGTACCCGAAGTGTTTCAGATTTCAGATGTTTTCAGATTTTCAAATATTTGCATCATATGCTTACCAGCCCAGCATCCCTAGCCTGGACATCCAAAATTTGAGATTCTCGGATGTGCGTTTCCTTTGAGTGTCGTGCTGGTGCTCAGAAAGATTCGGACTTGGAACATTTTGGATTAGGGATATTTAGCCTATAGATAGTAGTCCTGAAATGTAGTAAGCTTTTTGAACTTGCTTTTCTTTCTTTCTTTTTTAAATTATTATTTTAAAATGGGATACAATTCAGGATTAGGTATACAAGTGGTCATTTTATAGGCCTCCCTTTGGTTCTCACTTTGCCTGGTTTGGGATCAGGTACCTTTATTGATATTATGTGCCCACCCCCCTCCGGCAGTGTCCCACTACTGCCAATCCCTTTTTTATAGTATTATGACAAATGTTCAGGGTCCACTTATGAGTAAGAACATGTGGTACTCAGTTCTTTGTTTCTGTGATAGATCACTGAGTATTATAGACTCTAAATCCATCCAAGTTGCTTTGCAGTCCATAATTTTGTTCTTCTGTATGGCTGCATAATATTTCATCATATATATACTCATCAAAATTTTTTTATCCAGTCCACTCTCACTGGGCAGTACAGTTGGTTCCATGTTTTTGCTACTGTGAATAATGCTGCAATAAACATGCGTGTGCAGGTATCTTTTTCATAGAGTGATTTGCGTTCCTCCAGGCATATTCCCAGAAGGAGGATTGCTAGGTCATATGGCAGGTCGATTTTTAGATCTTTTAGGAATCGCCACACTGTTTTGCAAAGAGCTTGTACTAGTGTACACTTCTACCAACAGTGTAGAAGTGTTCCCTTTTTGCTGCATCCTCTCCAGCATCTGTTGTTTTTTGAATTATTGATGATAGCCATTCTGACTGGAGTTAGGTGGTATTTCAGTGTGGTTTTAATTTGCATTTCTTTGATGATTAGTGAGGCTGAACATTTTTTGGTGTATCTGTTGGCTGCTCATATATCTTCTTTTGAAAAGTGTCTATTCATATCTTTTGCCCATTTTTCAATAAGGCTGTTTGTTTTTTTCCTTTCGGCATGTTTGAGTTCCTTGTAGATCATAGCTGTTAGGCCTTTGTCAGATATAAGTTGGCAAATACCTTTTCCCATTCTGTGGGCTGTCTCCCTGCTCTAATGATGGTTTCTTTTGCTTTGCAGAAGCTTTTCAGTTTGATGAGGCCCTGCTTGTCTATGTTATCTCTTATGGCATGGGCACCTGGGGCTTTGATCAGGAATCGGCTGCCTATTCCAATTTCTGTAAGGGTGTCTCCTGCATTTTCTAAGATTCTTATAGTTTGAGGTTTTACGTTTAGCTCCTTGATTCATTTAGAGTTGATTTTTGCGTATGGTGATAGATAGGGGTCCTGTTTCAATCTTCTGCATGTGGTCAGCCAGTTTTCCCAGCACAATTTACTGAGGAGAGGTCTTTTCTCCTCAGTGGTTGTTGGTGGAGGATTTGTCGAACAAGAGTTGGTTGAGAAATTGAGGTTTTGCTTCTAGAATCTCTGTCCTGTTCCATTGGTCTATATGCCTGTTCTTGTACCAATACCAGGCTGCTTGAACTTGCTTTTCAAATGGCATTTGCAGATTGTTTTAGTTACTTTAGCAATTGACTCCTGAGCTTCCCAATGGGGGAGCCACCTACCACAAGTACCTGATAAATTTGAACGAGGCCGACATAGTGGCTCACGTCTGTAATCCCAGTACTTAGGGAGATCACGATGAGAGGATCACCTGGGGCCAGGAGTTGGAGACCAGCCTGAGCAACAAAGCAAGACCCCATCTCCACAAAAAATAGAAAAATTAGCCGGGCATGGTGGCATGCACCTGTAGTCCCAGCTACTCGGGAAGCTGAGGCAGGAGGATCACTTGAGCCCAGGAATTTGAAGCAGTTATGAGCTTTTTTTGTGCCACTGCATTCCAGCCTGGATGATAGTGTGAAATCTTGTCTCAGAATAAATAAATAAATGCAAATCAAATAAAATCAGAAATTTTGTGTCTCAGTTGTACCAGTCCCATTTCAAGTGTGAGACTGGGCAGGGCATTTGGACACACAATGTTTCTATCATCACAGAAGCTTCCATTGGACAGTGAGGCTCTGGGCTGTTCAACTTCTCAAAGGCTCACAAGAAGCTCCCCAAGCTTTGTTGATGCTCTTAAGTTTTTTTATGCTCATTTACTACACCATGGCCAGGAGTGGCCTCTAACCACTGCCATACTAAGCCAAGGCTGTGTCACAGGAGATGTTTAAATATGAACTCCGGGACACAGGTGACTGTCCTGTACAACACAGACAGGGAGTAGAATGCAGAAAAAAGAATGACATAGGTGTTAGAGATGAAGTGAGAAGGATGGGGAGATGAAAATAAGAAACTAAAAAGTAAGGAGTCAGGAAGAATAAACAGGATGAGGCCAGCCCACATGGATTTTTAGAAGAGGCTAGAAGGATAGACCCACAGATACACAAGCCATCAGGGGACCCCTGTGAGGCATCATGAGTGAGTCCAGCATGCAGGGAGAGAGCCAAGAAATAAGGAAGGTTGGCAGAGAAAAAGCATGAGTGTTTTAGAGTTTGGACGTTAAGAATTCAGCACACAATTGCATCATGACTTGAGTTGTAATCGTCATTTTTTCCCCCAGCTCCAACTCGGGAGAAGTGACCCATGCAGTGGATGACGTGAGTAGTTTCCAGCAAATTGTATTTCGTGAGATGCGTCCTGCTGGGTGGCGCATAATACTCTCTTGAAAGTCCTACCTCTGAGAGTAACTCAGAAATTGAATAATACAAAATAACTTCTTTATTTTAGGTTTTCTTAGTTGACAGGAGTTGTTCTGTTTCTTGATTTCTATCTGCACATGAAAATAAAGAAGCATTCGATGCTATTTCCTCAAGGAACATGGCCCCTGACTTGCAGGTCTGTGGGAGGAAGTTATTTAGCTTTGGTGAATTTTCCAGCCCAAAAGACCAATCAGTGCAAACACAAGCCCCTTCTAAAATTCAGAGCACCAAGCACAGAGATACGATATAGTATCCGTGATAATACTATACACCATGAGCTTTGTAATCCTAACCTGACACAGACGTGATTTTGTTTCTCCTCAAGGTCTCCATCTTGTTAGTTTTATCCACAAAGAGAGCTAGAAGCAGCCATGAGAAGCCCAGACCCAACTGCGGCCTCTGAGTCTCAAGTTCTTGGAGAGAGAAATGCCCCTTAGATGGCTGGGTCTGGGCAGAAAAAGATGGGTGCTTGCTATCCAGGCAGCAGGGGAGGTTATCCCCACATCCATGCAGGGGATCCCCCCCCATGCAGGGCAGGGACACGGAGCTTAAGAAATGGCCGAAGCTGATGAAAATATATGATTTTATTTTTAAAAAATACACTTGAGTTCCTAATAATTTTTTAGAAAACCTCACTGGTTACCTTTGTAGGGTGCTAGCCCATCAGCTCATTGTCATCAATGAAATGATAAAGGGAAAGAAACACTTATGAGGTCCTTCCTATAGGAAGCCTATTTCAGGGCAACTGCGGAGGCTTTGAGGGAACATCTTTCTTTATAGAAGATTCCAACTGGTAAGCTTAGAACAAATGACAAGTGTGAAAAACTCCATCTGAAACCCCATATGCAACAGTGACCCTTGGCTCATCAGTGACCGCTGGGGCTGATAGGATATCATGACGGAAGGTCCTGGAGTCACTCTGCATGCTCTAAGCACACACAGAGCCCCCCAAGTCAAGATGTGAGATGTGAAATCCTTGTGATGGGTGCAATGACTGGGTCACAGCACCATCGAGGGTGCTCTTGAAAACATTCTTCCCAACACGCCAAATCCAGAACACGGGACGTTTCCTAAACAGACTGCCTGGTTTCTCTCACAGATGAATAATACCCAACAAGGGAGGAAGGCACTGCAGAGCCAGAGACTGAGGAGGCTCAGCCTCACTGAGTGTCCTTGTGTGGAGCCGGATACATGAGCCAAGAAAACTGGGTGTGCACTGGGTGTGGGCAAGACCTAGGCTCCACCCTCTTAGGGCCTCGGGCTGGACCTGAGAATGAAGTTGGCTGTGATGAAGAAAGTGTGTATGTTTGCTTGATGTGAGGTGTGCCTGACACGGAGCCTCGCGAGAAGACAGAGACCCAGAGAGTTGGCAAAATGGACTCCACGAGTAGGGACGAGTAGCCCAGCTCTGTGGGGAGACCAGAGGACACTCCGGGCCATGTCACCAAGGCCAGGGCCTCTCAGCCTCCACTCCCACCTATCGTGACAAGAGTGTCTGTCTTTCTGGTGCGGGGAGGAGGCTCTCACCAGGCATTTTAGCTCCCACCTTCAGGAAGCAAAGGGAGGTCAGAGCTCCACCTGTGTCTGCTGCTCAGGCTCATGCAAGCAACTCTCACGCCAAAGGAGCCCGTTCTGGGGAGGCACCTTCCGCCACACTCCCAGCGACATTCATGTTAGAAAGTGTGGTCATGGTCAATGGCATAGAGACTGTGTTAAAAAAAAGTTCTCACCAGCCAAAGATACAGACAGTGGCATTTACAGATCACATGGCATGCTGTCTGGCTTCAATTTAAAGGATGCTGGGGAAAGGGAGGTGAGTTTTGCAGGATTGTCTATAAAACAAAACTGACCAAGTGGTGAACACTCCTGATGCAGATGACCGTGTGCGAGGCTTCACCAGGTTATTTCCACGGGTGTTAGAAAGTCCTCAGCAATACAGTTTAAAAAAAACACTTTGGGCTTGGGTGTCATTCTGGCCCATGATGGCAATAACAACCTGAAATTAGAAAGCGTATGAAATGATGAACTCTTAGCTAATATCAATGCTTTTGAATGTAATATGGAAATCTTGGTCATGGCCAATTTGAGAATGTTTTTATGTTGCACTGGTTACTATAAGTTTCATCTACAGTTTCATAGGACCTGTCATCTGAGAAAGCTTTATTGCAGTTATGCATCATAAATTTTAGAAACTCTCTAATAGTGGTATTAGTTCATGAATTGATGGCTTTATATTTTTTACCAAGAGGCCAAGGTAATTTTTATAGCTGTATTAAAAAATTACTCTGATAGAGTCTCTGGAAATAAACACATTAAAAATGTCTTGTTTTAGCCGGGCTCAGTGGCTCAGCCTGTAATCCCGCGCTTTGGGAGGCTGAGGTGAGTGGATTGCCTGAGCCCGCGGGTTCGAGACCTGCCTGGGCAACTTGGTGAGACCTTATCTCTACAATAAATCAAAAAAATTAGCCGGGTGTGGTAGCGCGTGCCTGTAGTTCCAGTTACTTGGAAGGCTGAGGCAGAAGGATCGCCGAAGCCCCAGCAGGTCAAGGCTGCGGTGGCTGGGAGCGGCCACTGCATTCCAGTCTGGGCGACAGAGTGAGGCCTCAACTAAAAAAGATAAAAAATAAACAAAAAACAAAAAACAAAAACAAAAATGTCTTGTTTTAAAATATTATTTATTTATTCAGTTTTATTTAGGTATGATTGACAAAAATTATATACGTTCAAGGTGTACAGTGTGATCTGATATACACATGTATGCACACTGTGAAATGATTTCCACAATCAAATTAATTAATACATCCATCATCACAGGCAAAGAGACACACACACTTTATTTTATTTTTTGACTGTTCTTTTCTTTTTCTTTTTCTTTTTTTTTTGAATTGGAGTCTCACTCTGTCACCCAGGCTGGAGTGCAGTGGCATGCTCATGGCCACCGCAGCCTCGACCTGCTAGATTCCAATGATCCTTCCGCCTCAGCCTTCCAAGTAGCTGAAACTATTGGCATACACCACTATGCCCGGCTAAGTTTTGATTTATTGTAGAGATGAAGTCTCACCAATTTGCCCAGGCTGGTCTTGAACCCATGGGCTCAGGCAGTCCTCTCACCTTGGCCTCCCAAAGTGCTGGGATTACAGGTATGAGCCACTGCACCCAGCCTCTTTTCTTTTTCAATTGACAAAGTATAAATGTACATATTCATAGGGCACATAGTGATGTTTTGACACAATGTATAGTGAACAGACCAGGGTGATGTCATATATATTGTCTCAAACAGTGATCATTTCTTTGTGTTGGGAATATTCAGTGTCTTCCTTCTAGCTAGTTGAAACTATATGATATGTAATATAGCTAAAATAATGGTTATAGTGTATATAACTGTATATTATATATTTAAAATGTAACTATATGTAATGGTTATTATATATATATAATGGTTATATATATATATATATATATAATGGTTATGTAATTATCACCATTCTATTATCTATGTGTAGCAGCACCATCCTATATATATATAATGGTTTTGTTACTATCGCCATCATATATATATATATATATATATATATATAAAATGTATGTATAAAACCATTCTATCTGTATATATACATATTTAATAGTTATATATATATGGATATCCAGTTTTCCCAGCACCATTTATTAAAGAGACTAGTTTTTCCCTAATCAGTGATCTTGGCACTTTTATAAAAAATCAGTTGACTATAGATATGTGAATTGATTTCTGGATTCTCAATTCTGTTCCATTGGTCCATGAGCCTTTTTCTATACCAGTACCATGATATTTGAGTTACTAGAGCTTTGTAGTATATTTTGAGATCTGGTAGTGTGGTGCCTTCAGCTTTGTTCTTTTTGCTCAAGATTACTTTGGCTATTAGAGGGCTTTTGGGGTTCCATACAAATTTTAGGAATTTTTTTTTTCTGGCAAAAATGTCACTGGTATTTTGATAGGAGTTACATTCAATCTATAGTTTTCTTTAGGTAGTGTCATCATTTTAACAATATTAATTCTTCCAATTCATGAGCATGGGATGTCTTTTCATTTGTTTTTTGTCTTTTCCAATTTATTTCATTAGTGTTTTATACTTTTCCTTGTAGAGGTCTTTCGCTTCCTTGGTTAAAATTATTCCTAGGTATTTTATTTGTTTTGTAGCTATTATAAATGGAATGCAGCTACTTCCTTGTGTATAGGCATCCTAGTGATTTTCAGATATTAATTTTGTATTCTACAACCTCACTGAATTTATTTACCAATTCTAAGAGTGTTTTGGTAGAATCTTTAGGTTTTTCTTTTTCTTTTAAGTCGGAGTCTCTGTTGCCAGTCTGCAGTGCAGTGGCATGATCATAGCTCACTGCAGTCTCAGCCTTCTGGGCTCAGTTAATCCTTCCATTTTAGTTTCCTGAGTAGCTGGGACTGTAGGAGTGCAGCACCACACTCAGCTAGTTTTTTTTTAGACACCCATGGCAATAGCCTGGTGAAGCCTCGTGCACAGTCACCTGCGGCAGGAGTGTTCACCACCTGGTCAGTTTTGTCTTAGCTTAATCTTGGTAGATTGTGTGTTTCTTTTATTTGTTTCTTCTAGGTTTTCAAATTTATTGGCATATAGTTGTTCATAGTAGGCTCTAATGATCCTTTGTATTTTGGTGATATCTGTTTTGATATCTCCTTTTTTTTTTTTTTTGCCTCTGCTTTTATTTATTTGGATCTTTTCTCTTTTTTTTCTTAACATAGCTAACCATCTGTTAATTTTGTTTATCTTTTCAAACCAGGCAGCTTTTTTTTTCCTTTGATTGTTTTTAGTTTCAATTTTATTTCCCTCTAAACTTTATTATTTTCTTCTACTGATTTTGATTTTTGCTTGTTCTTATATTTA